TTGAAGTAGGAATGCCCAGAATTGATAGAAGTGATGGAAAATCTCCAAATCCTACACGTGAGCGTGGTGCCTTGGCCAGTGGCGTTTTGGCAGCTGGGGCTGTTTGGGTTCCGTTTGGGGCTCTGTGGGGACAGCTTGTTCCCCAGCACCCCTCTGGTCCTGGCTGGAATGTTTTGGAGTCAGGCTGGTGGAATCTTGCTCTTGCTGTGAATCTCCTGCACCATGGCAGTCCCAGCAAGGATAAGATCCTTTTCCTAGGATGTTACACATAGGATCCTTACATATAGGAGTCAAAGCTCTGTGCAGCAGTGGAGAGCCTGACCAGCTGGTTTGGCCTGTTCTGGAGGCCCTGCAGGTCAGTGGCAGCTCAGGACCCCCCTGGCTCAGCATGTCCCACTCTCTGGCACCAGCTGTGATCCCCAGAGCAGAAGGTTAAAGAATCTGGCTCAAAATTGCAAATCGCTCTCCTGATTGCTCATTGATGAGGTCTTTTCAATCAGCAAATGCCATGCAAGAGAAGAAAAGAGCTGAAATATACTTTAGAAAAGCTCATAATTTAAAGTGTGTTTTTAAACTGTTAATAAAATGTTTATGAGGGGAATGGTGTAATAAGGCCTTTCAAACCTCACTAATGCCAGCCACAGGGCCAGCAAGATTCCTGAGGCAGGCATAGGGAAGGCGTTGGGGGCATTATTTCCAGTCTTGACATGAGAATGAGCAATTTAATTACAGACAACTATAAAATGGAAAATTCTTTGCAGTGACAAATGACTATTGCTACACAAGGAGAGCAGGAATTGGTGTATGGTTTGTTTACCAAATAATATCAGGGAGATGCACACAAGGACCAAATAGTGGCTCCAAAGCAGCCAGGATAGTGGGCACAAAGTGGGGAAGAGTTACCACTGGAATTGTGTCAGGCCTTTGCTGTCACTGCAGTTGTCTGGTCTCACTTCAATAATCCAGGTTGATAAAGGCTGCCAAGGAGCTGACAGGTAAAGGAGGAAAATCAGATACTCCAGGAGAGCAAAAGCAAACCCACATGTGGATTTTAATTTGGTTGCTGGTGTTTGAATAAAAGATGAAGGAACTCACCACTGCCCTTGTGTCCTTGTCACCGCTTCCACCTGCACAGGGAGCAGCCCCTGCCTGGCAGGGGAGGAACAGGCCCTTGCTCTGCTGCAGAGGGCTCACTCAGCTTCAGCTCAGTAGAGCTGAGAGTGTTCTGGTGTTTTATCAGAGCCAGCAGCTGATTTGCAATACTTCCCAAGCATCAAAAACCATAGATGGATTCACAAGAGTGTGAGGAAATCCATGATTTCTTCCTGGGGTAGCTCAGCTTCCCCCTTTAGCAGGGCCAGGATCTACTCTTTTAAGTGATGCTCATGTGGAATTTTTTTTAAGAGCAAAACATAAAAGAGTTCTGAAGTCATAGCTTCTGTAGGTTCCTCACACTGCAGTGTAACAGTTGCCTGGGTAACCAGGGTTCCCAACTGCTTAGCAGGGAAAAAAGAAATGCTACAGTGATGGAGACACAGACGTAAGAAGGAGGGTCTGTGCTGGAGCCTGATGCTTGCAGAGAGCAGTGTGGGATGGGGTGGGCTCAGTGAGGTGCAACCCCCAGCTTTGGGCTGCCCTCTGCAAACAGAGCAGAGCTTGAGGGGTGTGCCTGGCCTTCCTTGGGCCAGCCCAGCCTGGCCTCTCCCTGAGGAAGTGGGTAAACAGGAATACAGGTAACTTCAGTGATTTTTCTGCTGTGGAGAAACAGGATCAGTATTTCATGAGCTAGGTTATATGTGTGTCCTTCAGGATCTTGGCAAGCAGCTGTCATCCCAGGTGCCAGCACCAGATGTGAACCCTTGCCATGGTCCTTGCCAGTGGCTGTGGAGGTGGGTCAAGTGTCAGCTCCTAACCCTACCCTAGGCCTCTGCCTTAATGAAATTTCACAACTAGAAGGAAAGGTGGTTGGGCATTGGTATGAATTTTTTTTTATAAAAAATTTAATTCTCAATTACTATGTTACTTGTAGTTTTAAGGTCCCCTCTGCCCTTTTCAGTGCTACCATTACATGCCCATTCTGCTGGAAAATTGCAAAGGCTTGGCTTTGGGGAAAAGTGTCTCTGTGTTTATATATTACTTTATATTGTCTGGTTTTTTATTGTATGAGATCCATGGTGATAGTGCTGACAAAAACTGCTGTTTTAGGAGAACATCCTGGGGATCAGTGGGTTTATCTAAAGGTTTTGATGTGCAGGGGCAGGTCAGTGACCACAGTCCCAATGACTAAGGGTTGGCTGTCACTGGACTTACTGTTGACTGACGGGAAATCCTGGCACCTGATGTGGACAGGATGATTTGCAGAAAATGATCTGTCAGGAGGTGGATGCTGGAGAGCCGCGTGTCCCCGAGGTGCCAGTGCCATGGTCAGGGGGCACGCGGGGAGATGCGCGGCTGCTCCATCCACACCGGCTGCCATGGTGAGAGCCACAAAGGCAGAAGGGTCGCTACTTCCTGTCCCTCGAAGAGTGCTCTTTTCTGCAAGTCCCAGGCTTAGCTCCCAGTGCAGGGCACACTCAAAGTCCCTGCGGAGCCTGGTGGCTCCGCGCCTACGCATACCTGCGGAGTGGGGCAGCACTTGGAGGGGAGCTCAAAGGCGAGGGAACAGGACTCCAGTTAATCCCACACAGTTCATTATTAGGCCAGAGCAGCTCAGCCTGGAGATATGTCTTTACCAAGGGAGCTCCAGTGAATTGGATCCCAGAATAGGTTTTGAAAGATTACCGGTGCCTCCAGTCCATCTGCTGCTCCAGCCTCCCCAGCAGCTCCCCTTGGAGAGCGCCCAGCCGTGCCGGGGCTGGGAGGAGATGCAGACCCAGCGAGGGGCTGCCGGGAGCTGGCACCCAGTCAAGGGCTGAGAGTGCTGGCACTGAGGGAGGCAGAGCCCACAGGGCTGAGCTTGGACCAATGCCACGTCCCAGAGCCTGTGGAGTGCCTGCAGAGTGACATAGTGAACTCCCTGGCTCTCCTGGCTGGGAGACTCCTCCTGGTGCTTGCTAAGGGTTTGCCTGCCTTCCCAGTAATTAAAAGTTTGTAACTAATTACCAGCTGCCCTGCTCATACTTCGTGGTAGTGCTTTTCCCCAGTGCTGGGAGTGTACTCTCAGAGCAGGGAACAAAGCCAAATCTACTTGAATATGCGTGTGCTGTGCCCGCTGCGGGTGCGGAGGCTGCTGCGGGGACTTGGCGCCTGCTCCTCCTGGAGAGCTGTTCCTGTTCTGTCCTCTCGTGCCCTGCGTGGAGAGCAGCTTTGGGGAGATGCTGCAGAGAGGGGCTGGGCTCATGTTTGCACAGCAGGTTTAGCTCAGCCTTTCTTCTGCTTGCCTTTCCTGCTGACATGGTGAGCGGAAGACATTCAGACAAGTTACATGCAAGTCTCTCATGCTGAAACCTGATCCAGGAGCATGCACCTTCCTGGTCACCTTCACCTTCCCCTGCATGGCTCGTCCCACCATGCCCCTTGGCAAGGGGATCAGAGGACACACAGCACATGGGAATCCCTGGGCTACAGGTCAGGGCTGGTGTAGAGCCAGGATTCCACGGGTCCCCAGCCTTCCTTCCTGGCTGTCCCCATGGCTGCCTCCCTGCAGTGACTGTAGGTCTGCTGGGCTTGCCGAGGACAGAGCAGTGGGATCTGTGTTGGTCTATCTGCTGCTTGCTTTGGCTTGAGCAGCAACAGGAGAGAAAGAACTGCCCCCTTTGTCTGAAAATCCTCTGTTTTGAGGAGCTTTTAGCTGATCTGGGGGGAGAGGAGCTGTCTCCATTGACACACCTGCAGTGATTGTGCCCTGCTAACACACATTGTTTGACTCTTTTAAAAATATTTCCTTTATTGTTATTACCAGGACAAAAGGTAGTGGCAGGAGCTCCCTAATCTTTGTTGCCTTAGGCTGCATTAAAGGCTGGCTGAACAGGCTTTAAGGTCCTTCCCAGCAAACCTGAGAGCTACAGCACTGTCAGAACTATTGAAAGGTGTGAGGACAGGCTCTGATTGTACTCATCCTGGAGAACCTGAGAGAGAAATAAAGAGACGTGTTAAGCAGACCATGAGCCTGGTCCTCTGCCAGGTGTGGGGTTTGCTTTTGAGCTCAGGGCTTGCCAGCAGCGAGGGAATGGGAGTATCTTTGTGGGCTCTGTGTGGCTGGTATTTTCAGAAGTGTGTAGGATTTAAATTCCCAGTGGTGAAACTTAACTTCAGAAAATGGACAGTCTGTATGTATTTTTACAGATTTCATCTGATTTTTCTCTTTTTTGCATACAGTAAATGTGGCCCTGGGCTGGGGGACCAAGTGTCCCAGTGCAGTGTGCAGTGCTACACTGGCTTAAAGACTCATAGAACAGGCCTTGGAATAGTTGATTCCCCTCAGGTGTGTGTGGTTTGTATTTCCCAGCAGTAGTGCTGGGCAGTGTGGGGTATTTCTGTGTATTGTGCTGACTGATGCAGCAGCTCCCCTGACCTTACCAATGGATGTGGCAGTTCCCAGCGCCAAGGGGGCATTAGCAGGAGAGGACAACGTGCTCCATTCCTTCCTGTTTGACCTCAGAGTTTCCCTGTGATGCAGGGGGTTGTTGGTTCTACCATCCACCATGGTAATGTGAATCCTCTCTAGGTCAGGAGCTCTTGGTGTGGTGTGTGTTGTATGTTGCTCAGAAGCTCATCAGTGCTTAGGCTTTTCCTTTCCTTCTAAGCATTTCAGTTTTGGGGGTTTATCAGTTTTCCCTCAGAAAGCAGAAAGCCTTCAACTAGAGCAATACTTGATGTGCCAGATCTTGTCCTTCCCTTTCTGCCCCAATTTGGAAGGTATAAATATAGCTGAACACATATCACACCAGCATAACTGACAATATAAAATAATGTGCTGTGGACATGGGAGTGACCAGTTTAGTGTATATTATTCTTGTCTTTGTTCTCATTATATTTATTTTTCTTTTCTCTGACTTTAGACTTTAAAGAGGAAGGAAAAGGAATACGAGCACGAGATGGAGCGGCTGGCAAGAGAGAAGATCGCTACCCAGCAGCGGCTGGCAGAACTGAAGAACGAGTTGAGCCAGTGGATGGATGTCTTGGAGATTGACAGAATTATTCGACAGACAGTTCAGCCAGAGGATGACCAGGCATCTACCTCGACAGCATCAGGTACTCATAATTTTTCTCTTTTTTCATAATCATCACAGAAGGTCATTGACACAGCTACATTGGGGTGGTGGGGATCTTCATTTAGCAGCATCAGGGTTTCTATACATTCAGAATAAAGTATGGAGTGTTTGTAATAATTGATGTTGTTAATAACACACTGCTGCTCATGTGAAGTAAACTGAAACTTGTGCATCGATGTTGAGTAGATACAAAGTGTGGGTTTGCACATCCAACCTCATTGTGGAGATAAATCCCTGCTTTCCAAACTTAGCTTTTTTCTTGCACAGCTCTGCAGCCCTCCTCGTTAGAAGTGGGCATCCTGGTGTATTTGTGTGGATGTGGGAGGGTGTTCAGCACATTTATAAGAAGGTTTTGGTGTAGATAGAATCACCTGAGCGTTTGAACAACTTAATGAGCCTTCACATTGCGTGAGGAGGATCCACAGTGAAGATGAAATGACACTAATGGATACCTGACGTGCAGTTCTAGTGAGAAGTTTCTGTGAGATAGGAGAGTGTGTGCTTCTCTCCACACCAGGGATCTGCAGCAGGAAGAGTAGGCAGTCTGTGGACATAGAGCTTTCCAGAGACACGGAGGCTTTAGCAGTGCATAACATTCACAGCAGTTCCTTCAAGTTAGCATTTGCTCTTGACAAGCCAGGCAGATGATACTCCGGGTTCTGGGAAGGGAAAACCTGAGTTTTTTCAGGCTCATCACCTCCAGGTGTAGTCTGATGGAAGTTGGGAGTAGCATTGCTTTGTCGTTGGAAGTGCCAGCTTTCCTTCTGCAGTGTCCTCTGGTGAAAGCAGCTGCATCAACCTGCTGCTGCCCAGGGCTAGTGAAGGGGAAGTGTCTTCCCTGGTGTTCCTGCTGCTTCTGTGTCTTCTGAGATTTTTATTCTCTGCTGTATGGCTGGCACTAGAACAGGCAGTCCAGGATTCTGGGCTTGCCTTCCTGATCTCAGGGCTAGTATGTTCCTGTTTTGCTTCCTTAAGTCCTGGACTGGACAAGAGTCCATTTTCCAGAACCAGATGAGAGACTTCCTGCTATGTTTCTCCATGGATATTTCCTTCCTTCTCTGGGAGCAGAAGGAGTGGTGCTGATTGGTGGAGCAACTGGCCAGGAAAGGAAACCCTGTTCTTCTTCCCAGAAGGATCTCACTTCAGCTCAGACAGCTCAGCCAGGTGCATTCTATCAGCCTCTGCTCATGGTGCTCCCCTTGCCTGCCCAGTGAGACCTCTCAGCCTGTTGGGAGCACCCTGCTGTAGCTGGGTCTTTGAGCTCTCACACCTGCCTGGCTCCACGTCCTTGGCCCACAGGCAGCAAGGAGAGGGCTGTGCTGTGCCACACCATCATGCTGTGCCGTGCCACTGTGCCACCAGCCTGTAGCTCAGTGATGCCTCCTGCATGACTCTTCTGCCGATGCTGCCTTTTAGGGAGGCTCATAGGACCAGTTCATGCTCTGCTTGCTTTTTTATGGGAGTTTCTTCCTTTTGTGTTTTGCAGAGGGTGAAGACAACATGGATGAAGATATGGAAGATGACAGGCCAGTGAACTCATTACCAAAACTCACCCAGCGCCAGCACCCAGAGCTGCTGAAAGCCGTCCCCCCCAGTGCTGCTCCCTCCCTCCCCACGGTCCTGCCCCCACACGTGTCCATCCAGCAGAAGCCCCACGCCCAGCCCTCCCTCCAGACACAAGCACTGGTCCCGCCGCAAGCGATCGTTCCTGCACAGACTCACATCGTGGCGGCCTCGACCGTGCAATCGACTGTTATCGCCCACACGGCCACCACCCACGCCTCGGTCATCCAGACTGTCAACCACGTCATTCAGGGTCCACAGACCAAGCACATTGCTCACATTGCACCTTCTACATCCAGCCCCGTGCAACTCACCACTGCTGCTCAGCCCATCGGCCACATCACTGTGCACCCAGCCACCATCAACCACATGGCCCACCTGGGCCCACAGCTGCCCATCTACCCGCAGCCCGTGGCCGTCAGCCAGCCCGTCGTGAGCCACATCGCTCACACCATCTCGCACCAGCAAGTGAACGGCACCACGAGCCTGGGCCAGCCGGCTGTGATGGCCAAGCCGGCCGTGGGAACCCAAGTTGTCCATCACCCGCAGCTGGTCGGGCAGACGGTCCTAAACCCCGTGACTATGGTGACCATGCCGTCATTCCCGGTGAGCACGCTGAAGCTGGCCTAGAGGGGACGGTCCAACGGCGAGGTCTTTGTTGGGAACCTTTCCTAAGGAAACTCCATACATTCCAACCACGTGCGGCTCGGCGGGAGGAAGCGTGGGAATGCCAGGAGTGGCGGGGATGGGCTGTCCCAGCCGCTCGGTGCCCGCCTGCCGCCGGGACGGGGCCGCTCCGTGCTCAGAGCCGCTCATCTGAGAAACTTCAAAGACAGTTGTTCATGGTGATTTTTTTTCCTTTTATGTGTAATGAGTGAACTATGGATATGATGTTCTTAAGACTTTAATTTTGCCCTCTTATGTGTTGCTTCTTTGTAGAATAAAAATTGCCGATCTCTTTATTGAGACATTGCGTAGAATGGGAAAAAAAATCATAGAAGTCTATATTTATATATATGTGTGTATGTGTGTGTATATATATATATGTATATACATATATATATAAATATAACATTTGAAGGCCTTTTGTAAGGTTGATTATTTTGCAGGATTATGAGACAAAATTAATTTTTGGAGGAAGAAGACAGAGTGTCCTCTCTAAATAAGAAACTATAAGATAGATGGTTTGGTGGACCAGAGTACAGTGACAAAAAAAAATCCCCAACAACAAACCACGAGTCAAACCATATTAAAGGTATTTCCCATCAATATATTACATTTCAAAAACCATCTAAAATCACTGTGACTTGTTACGGCATTTTAAGGAAATTCTCTGTCCTGTCTAATAAAAGGAAAAAGAATACACAACCAGACTTGGTTTGTTGCCATTTTATAAATTACTTGATTTTTTATAGTTATGTCAAAAAAAATACTGGTTTTTATTATTTTAATGATTGGCAATGCTTTGTTTGGATGTTTTCTCGGGCGTTTGTATATTGTCTGGCTTGGTTTACTGATGCAATAATTGGTTTTGCAGATCTCTGTGCGTGGCATGGCCCCGGTCAGGGTCCCTCCTGCCGGTCCAAGCCACCCTAGGTTTCTCGGGTTTGTTGTTTGGCAGAGACACATTGTGCTGGCAGCTTGCAGGGCGTTTCTGTGGCCTGGTGAATGGATCCTGGGACAAGAAGACCAAGAGAAATGAGGTAGATTTGCTGCATGGGTTAATGTTTGTTAGTTTGTTCTGTCCTGAACACGCTTTGGTGTGGGAGCCAGTGGGTTTGGAAAGGGATAAAAGGGGATGTGGTTCCCTTCCAGAGTGCAGGCAGTTCAAGCAGCTTTGTTCCCTTTGACAGGGAAGCAGTCTCTTCTTACGCAGGATAAGGGTTTGCTGCAGGAAATCAGTGTGAGAGCTCATGTCTGGCAGTGAGATGTGCACCAAAGAACCCTCATCCCTCAGGACCCTCCTGTTCCCCTTCCCAGTGGTTGGGGCAGACCTGTCTGAGGTCAGTGGCAAATCCCAGAGAGCCAGGAGAGGAGGAATGCTGTTGTGCTGCTCGCTGAATGTTCTGGTCCTTGCACTGTGTGTGTAGTAACTGCTGTGAATGACCTCCATTCTGTCTTCCTCTCTTTTTAAAACAAGTATTCCACAGTCCTTACTGCAGGCAAAATGCTGCTGTAGCCAGCAGCCGTTCTTCTAGGGCAGGATAGGAGGACGGTTCCACATCTACCCAGGAGCTGTGGGAGAGGAGGAGGGGGTGGCTGAACACCTCCCCATGCTGCAGGCTGCATCCAGTGTGGGGCTGAGGTGTCCTGAGGAAAACAGCGTCCATACTCTGCCCAAAACACCTGTTAACTCTAGCACAACTTAATAACGCTGTTGAGGACTGGTGTGAACAGTGTCAGCGGTGTAATTGAGAACATCTGCCTGTTCCATACTGTCCCAAGTTAAAACTGGTCTGGAGGCAGCAGAAATGACTTTGGAGGTCAGGGGTGATTGTGCCTTTTGAGCAGGTGTCACTGGGAATTGTGTGAAGTCTGTTTATAAAGCCCCAGTTACCACTTGTTTTATTTTTCTTTCATGCATCCTTGAGTTCAGAAAGCTCTTGGCTGTACTGCCAGCACAGCTTCTGCAGAATGGATAAACCTTGAAGGATTTCTTTTCCTAAAACCTCATTTAAGCAGATTGTTTATTCTCATTTCAGTGCACCGTTAACACTGGGGGATTCCCAGGATTGCCAAGACTTGGTTGTCCTTTGTCCCTGCAGGTCCTTTCCCAAGGAGGCCGTTGTGAGCCGGGATTTGAGATAGGGTTGGGTATCAGGCAAGCTTCTCATCAGAAACTCCTGAGCGCTGAGTGTGTGCAGCAGCATCACCTCCCTCCTCAGGAGTGTGGCTTTGCCTTCTGCAGCGGCATCAGGAGAGGGAGGTCATGTGTTTCTGCCTTTTCTTACTGTTCCAACTCACAAAATAACAAATTCTCCTCATTGAAGGAGGAGCCAGGTTGAGAATGGGATGAGGGCAGGAGCATTGGCTGAGCCTCAGGTAGATGAGCTTTCTGCTGGGTTATTGACCTGTGCTGTAAGGACAGGGGTGCTGCTGACCTCATCTTCTGCTCCCATATGGTTTAGATCCAAGAGTGGCCCTGCCTTGCCCAGTCTGGTATCTTGGCCAGTTTTTCTTTCCCCATGGAGTTGTGCCATGCTGTCTGTCTGTCTGATTCCCTTCATGGATGTTTGTCTCCCCATTAGGAACATCCCCCTTGGCCAGCCCGGGAGCTGCTCTAAATGTTGTGTGTACCCCTGTTATTGTCTGCCTTTTTCAGGGCTACCAGAAACATTTCTTTGGGATTTTTTTTTTCGGTTTTTTAAAGTCAGCGAACTTCTCTCTATTCTGTGGGAAGAAGAGCAGCCACAGCCCTTCCTTTTCCACCTCTGTTATTCCTGCTCAGAAACTTTGGATTTACACTGATGCTCTTAGAAATCCCATTCAGTACTGTATGACAAGGGGCACTTTAGGAATGTCTCTCCTCCTTTGATATATGTTTTCCCTATGGAGAAAGCTATATATAAATATATATGTACACTTGGGGATTCATAAGATCTGATTTTCCCCCCCCCCCAAAAATCAATAAATATGAAGTTTACAAGAAATCTCTTCTTGTTGTTGAATAATATTAGTTATTGTAACCATGCCACAGAAACAATAGAAAAACAATAGAATAGAAAATGGTAGTTTGTGAGGATTTTCTATCCTGTCACACCTGGCTCAGACCCTGTTGGTCAGTGGAGATGGTTCTGCTGAGTGCAGGTGCCCTTGCAGCCCACACGCTCCATGTCCTGCTGTCGACAGCCAAGTGCTGCTCAGGAGCTGGACCTGTGCTTGGAGCTCAGCCAGCACTGCCAGAGGTGTTTGCAGCTGGGCAGATGTGTGGGCACAGACCCCCAGCATGGCTTGGTGCCCTGAGAAACCTTGTGCTGGGCTGAGCCTGCCCGCGGTAGCCTGGCGCCTGCCAAAGCCACTTCCAGCTCCTCTGCCAGAGAGGTGCAGGCAGAGGGCAAAGAACCCAAACTGCTACTTTAAAATGATCCTGAAAAGAGCTCTTAATGCTGACACTTTAGATACAGGAATGTATTCCTGACCTCACCAGTAAAAATTATTCAGATCTGTGTAGTTTATCTTAGGAAGGGAAGTGATCTGATTTCCCATGTTCTCTGCAGTTGCTTGCGTGAGATCTGAGAGGCAGCAGGGCTGTGTGTCCTTGGGGACACGTGGGGGCAGCTGGTCACCCACATTTCACATGGGGAAATAAGGGCTGGAGCCAAACTGCTGCTGTCGGGGTTGTTCAGCACGTATGTGTGTGTGTCCATCTGTCTGTCTGTGCTGGGGTTGAGTGTTGGGTGCCGACAGCCAGAAGGGCTCCAGTGCCACCACTGGGCCCCTGGCCACTGGCACAGCTGGGTTTTGGTTTTTTGAGCAGAACTGGACAGAGGGGACAGCCCTTTGCTCTCCAGGCACCCACAGCACGGCCGGAGCATTCCTCATCCCACTGAGCCGGCTGCTGCCTCTGCTCTTGGGCTCCTTGTCTTTTTTTTCTTTGTTTTATTTCAAAGTGGCCTTCTGTAACAAAAGAAACTAAAAAAATGCCTTTGGGTGGTTTAGGTGGAGGTGAGGTGTCGCTGCTGTGTCGGTGTCGGTGTGGTTGTCCGTGCGCACGCCTGGTAGATTCCTGTAGACATGCAATGCAAGGCTTATTGTGTCTGGTTTTTGTATGTAGCCTGTGTCTCTTTGGACTGGTTTGCATCCTGAGGGCGTTTTTTGCATTTAAAGAAAAAAAGTGAGAACTGTTCCAGGTTGGGTGGGTACAAGGGGCTCTGGAGACCTCCTGTGTGCCAGGGGTCGGGGGGAAGGTGTCCTTTGCCCCATGTGATGACTTGCTTGTTTGGCCCTTTTGCTTTCTGTGATGGGAATCCAGTGTCCCAGTGGGGTGAGCAGCCTTAGCCAGATGAACCAGTTGACCTCTGTTTACCTGAACAGGACTTTGGCTCAGCCTGTCTTTGTGTTCAGGCACTTGCTTAATTAGTTTAGTTAGATACGTGGCTGCTGCAGAGGGCTCATGGAGCTGGTGCGGAGGTGAGCAGCTCTGAGCACTCACAGGTGAGGCTCCTCTGAGACTTGGCATGTTTTTTTCTGAACAGTTGTTCATTCCAGTCTTATTTTGATTCTAAAAGGTATGGGGGTGTGGAGAGGAAAACCCTCATATTTCTGGCCTGTTTTCCATCCCTTGTTATCATTTGGGACAGATTAAAATGGATTATAACACTTATCTTTAGGTTATTTCCTCCCTGAGTGAAACATCAGTTGTTAGAAGTGGATGTTTAGTGTTAAGGAAAATAGGCTGTGGGTAGACTCAGTCATGGCTTCTTTCTGTCCCTTTTATACAGAACTTGATAATCCAAACTTGAACTATTAAAATATCAGCCCTAGCCCAGCACTGGGTGGGTGCAGTCTTGGCAGAGGTTGTGTTCTGCTGTTCCCAGGCTGGCTCACTCCTTGCCTGGGGCTGCTGAACAGCGAAGGAAGGCCCCACTCGCCTCTGTCCCTGCACTGTCAGTGTGGGACAGGGCTGTTCCATGCTGGGATTTGGTGGGAGTGGGCTGTGGGATGTCATGGTGCTTCTCATCAGGACATCATGGCTGGTTCTGCTCTAGCTCTGGATGAAGCCCATTGACTCACCCCATTCCTTGTGCTGTGAATAGGAATTTGAGTGTGAGGGAGCGCTGGTGCAGAAGCCACCACGGCTCACCAGGGAAATGCTCTGGGCTCCCAGCACATCTCTGTTGTGAGATTTTCCCTGGCTGGCTGGCAGGCAGGCACATCCTCCCCGAGGCTGTGTTGCTGTGGCAGGCACAGGCCCGCGCTGGCTGCGGTGCTGCCTGTGCCGGCTGTCGGGAACGCTCTGGCCGGAGCCGCGCTGGCCGCGAGCTGCCCGCGGGATCCCGGTGCAAATGCCTTATGGATACGCCTTAACAACCTGAGCCAAAAGTGTGGTGGGGCTTGACAGAGCAAGAAATCAGGGACTGACTGCAACCACCCAATGATGTATTGGCTTCTGGTCAGGCCCCAGCCTGGGCATTGCTGGGTGAGGAGCCGTGGTGGGAGCAGGGACCCCCTGCTCTGTCCACTGCATGTGACCTCCCTCCCTCCTGCCTAAAGCATTTATTTATTTTATCTGGCTGTGCTCCCCGCTTTAGGAATGTGTCACTGGAGCTGCTGACTGAGCCCAGTTGCTGCCGTCGCTGGCCTGGAGCCCCCATCCCTCCCCTGCACCTCACAGGAGCCCCCATGTCACACTCACCTGGGCAGGTGCGATCTGTGTTTACAGTGAGGACGTGTCACTGTGTTACCGATTTACTGAAATACTGAATATTGACAAACTCTAGACTGTAAAGATTTTTATGTGTTTGGATACATCTGCTATGTGAAAAAGCAACTAATTTTGTACATATTGTATTTTTACTATTCAGCTGTACAATACTGGCTCTTCATGCTCCAGAATTTAGGTATCCAACATGAATGATATCCATGTAATAAGCACTTGCCTGAAATAAATATAAAACTGAAATAAACATGCACTGAAATCGGAAACAGGTTTCTGCATTTGCTTCCCTGTGCTTTGCATGCAGATCCCTCACTTTGTGATTTCCCGGTTTCAAGAGCAATGCCTTCCCTCCCTCCAGAGCCACCGCAGCCACTCCAGGTACATCACGGATCCGAGGGGCTGGAGCTCACCCGGGCCAGGCAGAGCTTCTGGAGGGCCGTGTGTGTGTCTGGATCCAGCAGTGCTGTGCAGGGGAAAAGCAAAGCCTTTGCAGCTTCGGGAATCTCTGAGAACTTGGAAAACGGTGCCCTGTCCTGTGCCCTTCTGCTGAGGAGCCTATCCTGGCCCCACTGCAGGGCAGAGGGCTCCCAGCAGCCCCACCGGGGCCCAGTGGAGCAGAGGCGCGCTGGGACCATCCTGCTGGGACTCTCCTGTTGGGCAGCCCCGTCAGGGTCTCCCTGTGCCGTGGGTTGGGGTAAGCAGGGATGGGCTGAACAGCCCGGCCGGACCTGCCTCACGTGGAACTGCCCTCTCCTACAGGTGCTGGAGGCCGAGTTCCAGCTTCTCCCACTGCCTTGTCTCCGGCAGCGGATGCAATGGACGCGAATGGTCATCCAGCTCCCGGCAAGTCACACCCCTCGGTGGCCTCGGGGCAGCAGGGCAGGGGGTGGGGCTGGACCCCAAGGTAGGCTCAGGCAGAGGGGCTGGGAGGGAACACCACAGGTCTAAATACTGCATTAAAAATAACTGAGACTGGGCAATGGAAATTGTGGCAGATGTGTGGGAAGGACAGAGGGACAAGAGCCAGCTGTAACCCCAGCTGTGGCGCTCAGGTGCCCGGCCCACCCCAGTCCCAGCATGTAGACAGGTGAATGCAGAGGACACGAGGACACTGGAAGTTTATTTAGGCGAGTATGGCTTTGGATGCACTTTATAAAGGGCTGATCCTTGTTGATAGGGATAAATACCTGATTAGCAGCTGTAACGAGCAGTGGCTGAGGAATGGCTGCACCCACCCCAGCACACACAGGCTTTTGTTGGGCTTTTTTATGGTGGAATGGGGAAATGTTCTGTAATGCCCCAGGGATTCATCTCCAGACCCATTTAGCCTAAAAACGTGGAACATCTCTGCAAAAACTGCCAGAAGCAGCCAGGTGAGACTGAGGAGAAACCATCCCTGCTGCAGAGGAGATGTAGCCAGAGGAGTTGAAGGGGTCTGAACAAGGACTGGGAATGATGGAGGAGGATCTCTCCTGGAAGTCCAGCAGCTCAGCTGGATTCAATACAGCTGCAGCACAATCAGGCCTAAAATTTCAGGATGAAACTCTTTAACACTTACCATAAGCCTACTTCTGTTTCTGGGCTGGGCTGGCTCAGGCTCAGCCACTGCATACATGAAAGCTGCCCTTAAAGTAATTTAAGAGACCTCAGGAGTCTACTTAATGGTGACCTATTTATTGCCTTTAGCACTACAGCCCATGCAGCTCATCAGAGAAACATTAATTACATCTTTCCCAATCCTCCCAGACAGCCTCATCCCTGTTCCGTTGCTGGAATCACCTTGTGGGGAGAGAAATTGCTCCCAAAGAGCTCCACGGGATGCCTTGACAATAAGTATTTATTCATAAGTTACATTTAAACATAAATAATTGAGCAATAAAGAGAAGAGTCTGCTCCCAACAAAAATAAATAATACACAACATTGATAAAATCCAATCAGACAGAATGTTCTAACAAATACAGCAAAGTTCACTGATTGGGTTTGTGTGAAACAGCTGTACAGAACATTCCCAACATACCAAAGGAAAATAGTGCAGTATTATCTGTACATCCATCACTCCCCAGGCTCTGGGAGGTGCAGGTTTTTCTCACTCTTCTCATTCTTTTAAAAAATACTTTTTCAGTTTTCAAGTGAACTGACAGACACACCTGGAGCACTTCTGGAACTGCAGAGCAGCCGTGGGGCTGCACAGGTTGGGCACTGCTGGGACTGGGGACGGGCTCAGGCCTGTACAGAGGCAGGAGCAGGGATGGGAGCAGGGATGGGAGCAGGGATGGGAACAGGGATGGGAGCAGGGATGGGAGCAGGGATGGCAACAGGGACGGGAGCAGGGATGGGAGCAGGGATGGGAGCAGGGATGGGAGCAGGGACGGGAGCAGGGACGGGAGCAGGGACAGGAGCAGGGATGGGAACAGGGACGGGAGCAGGGATGGGAGCAGGGATGGGAGCAGGGACAGGAGCAGGGACAGGAGCAGGGGCTGTGGGACTTTCTGTGCTGGGAGCATGGGTCGTAAGTATCCGTGGAATCTGCAGTTGACTCCATGAGCAAGAAGAACCTCCATCCTCCCTCCCTCTGTCTGGCCCAGAGATACACTTTCACTTAGCAGCAACAGGCACCTGGGGAGAGCAAGTAGAGCAGAGGTGAGAGTCCTACCCCATGCAGTGCAGAGGAGGCCAGCAGCCCCAGCAGAGCCCAGCAGTGCTGGTGGGAGCCCCGTTCCCCCCAGCCCTGTCACAGACCGTCCAGGGGCTCACTGAGGGCTCCACAGCTGAGCAGGGGCTGCAGCAGCAACTCAGAGCCCTCCAGCAATTCCAGCTCCCTCACCTGGCAGGGGCTGATCCTGCTTGCAGAGATCCTGGTTTGTGGGACCTCATGGAGACACGCCCCTGAAAGCTCTGCAGGGCAGGGAGGAGGAGGAAGAGGGTGAAATGAGGGATCTGGGGGAGACTGGGTGCTGCCATCTGCTTCCCATGGGATGTGAATCCATGGCTCTGCACAGCACAAGGAGCAGGAGCTGCCAGTATGAGCAGGGTCCTGTCCATGGGCTGGAGCTGCTCACCTGAGCAACACGGAGCAGGGTCTGGCAGCTGGCAGTGATCACAGGGTCAGTTTGCAAAGCAAAACAAAGGCAAGGCTGTGTGGGCCATGAAGACTGAGCAGTGTGAGCCAGTCAGCCAAGGCCAAACTGGTGTTTTAGCTCATGAGCTCCATCACTGCTCCCATGACCTGTAGCATTTAGGTTAAGGCCATTCTCCCAGCAGGAATCTTATCAGCTTTAGTCACTGCTAAATACAAACCCAAATGTTTTAGCAACATGAGCTCAGACACATTCTCTTCCATGTTCAAGGCAAAGACAGTGAGTCCAGGACCGTGCTCCTCCAAGGACCCAGTCCAGTGCTGGCAACCTTGCCTCCATGGCAGCTTCTGGCAGATCACACAAGGTGCATCCAGGCTTTACAGGTGCAGTAAGTCAAAATAGAAATGTTGCAGTTTGTCAAATCCCCCCTTTCAACATCACAAAGATGTAGACAGATGTCTTCTAGAGAGGGAAATAGAGAATGCAAAAAGGTTTTGTCTAGAAATACAAAGTGAGTGTAACAAGGACTATCAAACACCAATCTCGTCTGGTGAAGGGAAAGTTTGAGTTTTAAAAGTCTGTTACCATCTCCTCACTATTTATTACATTACATGGAAGATGCAATTAAAACACCATTTGGAATTACAGTGCAAGGAATGCTCCATCCAGTGGCTGACAGCGAGGCCCCAGGGACAGCCTGTCCATGGTCACTTGTTCTCAATCAGTGTCTGCACTTTGTAGACAAGGTCTCTGGCTATCCTCAGGATCTCTGCAGCATCGTGGTGCTCAGCCATTTCTAAGACACACAGACAAACATCTTAACTGTCAGCACCACCTTCCTGCCCTGGCACTGATATTCATGTAGCATTAGCATTAATTAATTACTATAACAAGCAGCAATCCCAGAGCATTGCAGGGGGTTGGTTTTGGAGAATTAAAGAAGTGGATGAATCCCTTGTGCTGTAAGACCCGGCATTGAGACTCAGAGCTTAAAATGAGCAGGGATTTGTCACAACAAGAACTGCACCAGACAGTCTCAGGAAGGGAGAAGGAGCAAAGTCTCATTACTTTTTATCAGAATGGCTCTTACCATTAAAAAACTTGATGATATCAGTGAAGTCCATGTTGTTATCACGGATAATCTCTCGATAAACTTCCACAAGTGCTAAGGCAATGAAAAGGACAAAATGTTCTGAAGAGATGTGCTTTGCTGCCCAAATAACTTCCCACACTGTAAATACATCCTCGTACAACAATTCTGAATGGGAATAAACATTACAAGAGCATCTGATTATTCAACTGACCATGTCCCTCCTCTCTTACCAATGTCTACAGGCCTTACTCAGACATGAACAAAACCTGAAGACTCCTCCTTTTCCTCTCCCCCTCTCCTCCAGCCAACTCCTGTCCCTTATGCACGTGAGGCACAGACTGGCTTAAAAAACAATTACCACAGCCTGGAGGTGGGGTGGTGCAGAGCCAAGCCCAGGAAGGTACCTGAACCACAGTGACCACATGAGAGCAGCACAGGAGGTCTGGGTGTTCTACAGGGCTACATGACAGGCTGCAGGTCTGACCGTGTGTCCAGGGGTATCTCGGCTTTGCAGTGGGCCTGAAGGCACCAACACTCTGCTGGAGTGTGTTTGTGCAAGGATCCTGGGATCCAGGGGTGCTCCCACACCATACAAGGTGCCTCACTCAAAGTACAGCAGCTCCTGAGCTACTGCTGAGCAGCTCCTTGTTACCACAGGGATGAGACAGGAGGTATCAAAGCTTACAGAGGAGTGGGATCACCTTCTTGAGCAACCAGGCATTTGCACTGGGCAGGAACTTGGCTTCAATCACATTATCAGGAATTTGCAACTGTCCTTTCTAAGCCTGGACTCATTCCAGTGCTGTTTCATCTCAGAGCTGTATTACCCTTCCTGACTACAAACTCTCCAGTGATCCCAGCTGCCACTGACCATCCTGACAGACACTCACACCAAAACACAGAGCTGTTACAGTTCTACACAACTCTAAACTACAGGCACAGAACATTATTACCTCTTTTAAAGTCAAGCAGGAACCAGCGATAGCAGAAGTAAAAATGAGTGTAATCTCCATTCTGGTGCATCAATTCAAAAAGTTCTGAGTCCAGAATCTAGAATGGAAAACACCAGCTGTCAGAATGTGGTCGGAAAGCATCCAAGGTCAGAGGCACTGGTCTCCCACTCTGCTCTTCATCCCGTGGTCAGAGCAGCTGCTCAGCACAGAAACAGCCCTTTGCTGTGGGTGCCAGTGCTGTGACCTTGGTGCCCTGACTCAGTGCTGAGCTGAGGAGTCACAGTTGATCTTCACCATGACTTTAAAGGGCCAAGGAACAAGGTGAAGATCCCACTGATTTTCAACAAGTGGCAAATGTCCATCTCCACCTCTGCTCTCAGGCTGTAACTCTACAAATCCACTTAAAACTCTTGCCCAGCTCTGAAGTCAGGCCTGAACCCCACTCCTTGGAGCTCTCACCCTTCACTCTGCCACAGCCTTGTCTTCTTTCAGACACCCTTAAAGCAGACTCACCTGGATAAGGGACCGCATGTTGGCAAAGTGCATGTCCATAGCACCTCCATTGGGGAAGTTCTGGCTCATCCTCTTCATCAGGTGGCTGAAGCAGCTGTAGGCCAGCTGATCTGCAGGGACAAGGCAGATATTCAGTGCTGGCAACTGTGGGACTTCTTGAACCAAAATAATGGAACTGCAGGGCTCGGGAAAAACAGGGTCTTCCCCCTTTGCTGTTCTCTGAATCCCAGGATTTAGATGAAAGAGAGGTTGGTTCCCAACTCTGGACCATTTTTACTGGTTATGTTTCAAAGAATCCAGCCTGCAGCCGACTTTTCAGCATCAGGAACTGCCAGAACACAGTAATTTTACTAACTTTAGTAAAATTTAATCTAGAAGTCAGTGAGTGACACGGCAGCCCCAAGACACTAATGTGAGCCATTTCAATAGCCACAGGTGGAAAAAACACAAATCACAAGCTGCAGGTTTGATTTTGCTGGTGACCTAGCCCTGGTTAATGTAGACATTTTTCCTTTCTGAAACAGCATTTCTAAGGAAAGACCTCACTAAGGATACCAGCATGTCCCAAAGGAAACCCCTTCCTACCATTGTCAAGAATAACCATCAAAGGAGCCAGGAGGTCACACATTCCTTGGACATAACCAACTTCTAGGTGCTCCCAGACATAGCTGTGGAAAGAAGAAATCCTTGTATTGAAGGCTGATTCCATATGTGAGATCAAATCCTAAGCAGCTGCTGAAGGTGCGACTCTCAGAACCTTCTGACACTTCCCAGAGTATTTCACAGCCCTTTACTGTTTGCTGCCTGGATAAAGTGGCCCTCTGAGCATGGAGGTACCATCCTGATCAGGAGAAACCCAAACCTCAGAGTACATTCAGAGAACAGTTCTCTAAAATAGGGTCTTCCACTTGAGAAATTGTCTCAAATCTGCATTCCAAACTCAGACCTATGTTCTAACCTGCCACCCTGCCTGTTCCTCCTTCTGGCAAGTTGTTTTAAATTCATTAGTGAGAATTGTTATTGACTGCTATTTGCATATTATTATAGTTTATCAATTATCTTATGGATTGGCAGAAATGTGAAAGTAGTTGGGTTTACAAGCTCATTACCTGCACATGACATTTCGGAGCTTCTCCAGGTTCTCAGCAGTAAAATACCAGTAATTCCGGTCACATCTCTGGACATCTTTATCAATTCTGTGCAAATTTAAGGCAACAGTGTCCAATAACTCTATCTAGAACAGAGAAGTTTTAGTTAGATCTGCCAAGTTTACAGCATTCCCAGGACTGTGCAGATTTGCTCTGAGAATCACCAAACCAGAAACAGTACAATTATACTCTGAGCAGATGAGGGTATCGTAATACTCAATTACCGTCAAACATGCCAGGTAAAACACATTTGTTTTCACTGGGAAATGTGCTAAACCTCTCCTATTTCCAAATGGCTATTTCCAGCTAAATAACTTCAGCAGAGAGAAGGAGAAACTATGCTGCTGTAAGACAGCAAGTGTAACAGAGGTAGTGGCATCTTGAATCTAGATTTAGGTTGTGGTTCAATCTGACTAGATGGAGGTTTTAACTTGTTTTAAATAACAGCAGAATCTGACAAGCAGTATGTTGTCCACACCCCTAGGTCCCAGAAAGTTCTAACTGCTAGAAATGTACCACACTGACTGTCTTGCCCTCCTGCTTAAAAACCCACCTATAAATGTTTCTTGCTGCCTTATTTCCAATCTAGCTCAAAATCCAAATGAAAGGATTTGGATACAAAACTCCTCAGTTATGATCCCACCAGCTGTAGTTCCAGTTTGGGACTCTCTCTCGTTAAATCCTATCTGAAAAAGTACCAGTGTTTGCTAAAAAAGCAATGCTGTGCAGAGATGATGGTACTTCGGTTGCGACCTACTGTGTAGGACGCAGCGCAGACAGAGGCGACATCCACTAAATAATCCCCCTGGGAACACAGCTGCTCCTCTGAGATGGAGTCCTGCGACTGCAGCACCCCTGGCTTGGCTCTCTGCACGCGGGGTGTGCCTGGCTCAGTCCTTCCCGCCTCAGGGCTGGCTTCTTCCTCAGCCCCATCCTCGAAGGAGCCGCTCTGCCCGTCGTCAATGCTGGACAGGATGCCCGAGGCCACTGAGTAGTTCCTGGAGGACGGCAGCCCCGAGTCGGGTGAGTCGAACTCCACGGCCACGGGGGCCGGCACTGCTGTCAGCATGGGGTCCTCCTGGCCCTTGGGCTCCTGCTCCACTGAATCTGTTTCATCCACAGATATGAACACCTGTGACGTGCAAAACCAAACATGCGCTTCAATAGCAGTGATCGTTTCTCTGTGCTGGGCCTGACTACAGCACCTACAAGGAAGAGATCTGGAGAGCTGTTCCTCTGCTGAGAGGGGATCTGCCTTTGTAGGTGAACCTTAGAGCCCCTTAGGCTCTAAGAACCTGTCCTGCCTAAGAACAGCTGCAGACTATCCAAAATTCAGACCTGCTTTTCACTCTAACAAAGAGACACAACAGCTCCAATCTCTGCCCAGGATTCAGGAGCTGTGCTAACATCTATCTCTGCCTCCTGGGGCTGCACCTCTGCAAATGGTGAGCACTGCCCACTCCAGATGGTGAGTGGAAGGGAATACCTACATCATTGCTGATGGTGGAGTCCCTGTGGATGAGCCGCTGGACATGGCTGTCAATGCTGCTGCCCGACGAAAACTTGGCCAGCGTGGCTGAATGCGACTCCTTCTCTCGCTGCTTCACAATGACCTCACAGGCCTTCCACTCAGCCATCACCTTCTGGTACCTCAGAGCAATGTCTGCGTCCACCTGCAGACAGAGACACGTCCTGAGATGCTGCCCTCCTTGCCAGAAGGCACTGACACTGGGAGGAAACAGGAGGAAGAGGTCTAAGGCAGATGCAGGGTCTCAGACTGAAAGCCCAAAGGATGCCAAGGCCCTTTTGCTTTTTGCCCTCAGCAGCACATCTCTGTGACTGGAGAGCAATAGTCAGGTATTGCGTATTAAATGCAGGGAATTAATAACACAGTAGGCACCAGAAGGGATCCATATAAGCAGGTGCATACACTATCAAAGCACTGTGCCACTGTGACCGTGACCCGGGACAGAACAAAAGATGTCATGTGAAACCTCACACAGAAGTCAGGTGCAATCTACAGAGCAAGCACTGCCTCTACCTGCATCATCCCTAATTCCATCACACCTCTTCCAACTCCTCTGTTCCAGCTCTAAGGTAGCCCTTGTGAAGAATTCCAGGTCACAAGTTTATAGACACCAGCCTGTACAGTCAGATCCCAGGAGAAACTCTGGAATCCCAGCTCCCACAGCCCCATCCTGTGGCTGCACTGTGCATGGCCAAATCTATCCGCACTGGGCACCACAGGAATAAAACAGATCTTTGTCACTGGTGGCTTTCTCTTCTGAAAGACAGCCACAGAAACTCCCTTGAGCTATTAAGGACATGTAGCAATTTTACTACTCTGTCACTTGTCAAGAGCTGAAGAGAAACCACAATTGTGAGCTGCCTCCAGGCTCTGCACTCGGCTGGCTGAGCTGCTACCCGAGCATTCATGCTAAGAGCTGCAGGCTGTTTGTCACTTGAGGTAGCTGTCGAGTCATAAATCATAAAATACTACAGTTAGTGGAGGGCTGGAGGACAGCTACATCTGGGAGTGCAAAAATACCTTCAGAAGACAAAGATGATAAATCACCTGCAGTGACTTCATTTAAGGACACGAGTTTCCTGTACGTGCAGGTGTTGTGACTGTTTTCATGTCACTCATTTAACAGACTCCTACATTCAGTATAAGCTTCAGTCTCCAACAACCCATTCCTCTGAGGAGTCAGTTATTACTCTTGTTTACTATTGGTGTTGAATTGCTCATTACAATTCCAGGTAAGTTCGGAGTACTCCTGGGTTAGAGTAGGCTACAAACTCAGTGAGAAAATTCTTCTGTAGGATCCTGTGTTCTGCAGATCAGATCTTTTCTATCTTGTAACATCTCTGTATGAATTTACTGTAATTCCTATCATAAAGACTCCAGTATTTATATCTTCTTGCCAAATCTCCTATGCTCTAGCTGTACAAATGGGACGAGATGGGACTAGCATCCCTGAGAGATGGCTTCATATCTTCCACTCTAAAAACTAATCATCTGGGTCTTTTTGTTAATTTCTAGACACACCTTTTATTTCTGCACATGGATCATAAATCTGATAGTTCATATAGGTGTGGAAATCAGGCACAACAAAATGCAATCTATGCAAGAAACCTCCAATATCCTGCCTTTCTTGAAAAATCTGAGATTAAAAAAAGAATGGAGCAGCGCTCAGTAAAACATTCCTGATGTACACACTACAGCCAGGAAATCTATAATAAACATCTACTGAGATGACTGAATTCAGGGTGGAGAATCTGTGACCCAGTTTGAACAGTGAAGGGCTCTCCTCCTCCATCTGTGTTCAGAACTGGCTTTTAAAGATTATTGGAAGACAACTCAAATTGCCACAGCAATGTTTAGTAAAAAGGGAGATGTTTATAAAGTACCCCATTTGCAAGACACTGATTTGTCCATGGCAAGGCTCAAGGTCAAGCTGCCCTTCTGCTCTGCAGGTGCTTACAGGGATATAAATTACTCCTTGGCATGTAAAGTAATTGGGAGTTAGCAAATGCCAAATGTTTTGATATATAAACCACTCCTCATCAATTTAATCGAGGACAAATCAGCTACTGCATGAGTGCTATGTCCCTGGTAATAACACTAACTGAAAAGCAGATTAATGTGTTAATTATATTCCAGGCCAAACCTCATTACTGTTCCATCCAGTTCAGCCAGTCTTTGGGTGATGTCACAGAAAAGCAATGTTTTACCACCACACAGTAACTCCAGAGGGTCCATCTGGGCTGTTCCCAGCTCCAGCAGAAGTCCATGCATGCAGATGCAGTACCATGGAGAAAAGGTAGTTATTTCAAGGAGCTGTCTGAAGTATAATTCAGCTAACACGTCATATAAAAGGAGGGGTGAGGAAAATTCCCATCCAATTGTCAATGTCTCCCCATTTTCTAAGTGACAAATTTGTGGACACAGGATATGCTCAGGGCATGTATATGCCACAGGCAGAGCTGAATGCAGGTTCCCTGACTTGAAGAAAGAAAGAACTCTCATTTAGTAACATTCAAACATTAAAACATGGTATAAAAACCCCTCTGCTAGTATATGTTACTTATGTTTTCAGTAGTGTTCTTCCTTAGGGATATTACACAGTAATAAAGACCAACAGTTGCTATTCAGAAAATAAAACCTATGCTGCAAACATAACTCAGATTCCACAGAAGCTATGGCTTACCTGGTCCATCTCCTTCTTGGCCATGCCAAATTTGTAGTGACCTAACAAGAATGGCCACACTTCCTTTCGAATCTCATGCTGGACCCCACCGTAGTAAACTCTTCTTAGTAATTCCAGTTCCTTGTAGTTCTACAGTGGCCAGGAGAAAGAGGTGTTGAAGGCAATACATCTGTATTTAACTCGAGTACACTCAGAGATGCTTCACACTGGGTACAGAGACAGCGAAATACATGCAGGAACTAAATAATCTCTGCAGCTTGATTCAAGCCTTTAGGGCCTTAGCTGAAATCCAGCCTAATGCAGGCTGTCATGCCTTCCATGAAAATAATCTAAATTTGAACAGATCAGTTGCTTTGATACCAATTTATATCTTTGTCATCATCAGAGAAGCAAAGGAGAGAAGAGATTGTAAGAACTGACTCTCTCACTAGCTGAGAAGTGAGCTGTGGTCAAACACCTTTAGCATTTCTTGGGGCCAGTGCAGGTGATCCCTGACCGATGCTGCAGCGTGTGGAGCCCATGCACCGACATGAAGGGGACGTGTCACTGACCTTCTTGTCCTTCTGGTACTTGCTCCACACCTCCGTGGTGAGGCCGGCGGTGGCGCTGGCAGGGGGCACAATGCTGTGGTTGACCAGCGCCGAGAGGTGCGTGCGCACTGTGGACAGGTGTCGGCAGTGTGCCAGCCCTGCGGGGACACCGAGGGCCAGCTCAGCCACAGCCCTGCCTGAGGGGCACTGGAGCCTCAGGAACAGTCGTGCCTGCACTGAGCCTGCTCTGCACTGCGTGAGAATGAGCAACTACAGCAGAGCCAAATGTTAAACAGATCAGACACAGACCAGCAACATCCACGTCGTGAGTTATGCCGCCATGTAAAACTACATTCTGTCTCCACTGTGCATCACTCCTCCCACTGCCAGCTGCAAAACTCACAAATATTGAAATACTGGCACTAGAGTTACATCCACCCTACTGGTCAGACTGCTTTCTAAGCCAAACATCCGATGTTATTTAGATAAGCATGTGGATACCACATGGGCCAGATATAAGAAGTTTCACTTACATCCATAAAAAGCTCTGGAAATGATCTGCCTCTTCATGCTTTCACACAACATCTTTAGTGGAGTTCTGTGAGAGGCATCAACAGGACAAGAGCAGGTGGTGAGGAGAGAGAGAATCAGGAATTTCATGCTGATCCCTGTGTCCTACACACAGCAATTATTTCTCCGCACCAAGACTTATTTAATTAAAGGAGCAGTAAGAGCAAACTCCACTTATTAAAGCATTTCCCCCAACAACACTTCGGCCCCAGACAGATTTCCCCCTGGCACACAGCCACAATTGCTGCAGGTGCACTGTAGAGGTCTGTGTCAAACTGTTGCCCTTCATCCAACTGTTAATGACTTGTTAAAGATAACATTCCCAGAGCTGAAGTATTTTACACAAGACAAAAGAACTAGATACAATTTTTCTATCAAAATGTGACTTGAGCATAGTTTAACAGGTTAGTTTTAATAAACTAATTTCTTGCTGCCAAACTCTGCCAAATTTTTATGCTAGAAACTACTTGAAAACTGTTACTTGAAAATTGTTACTCTTTGTCTTGAGTGCTGCAACCACTCAAACCTTCCTGCTTTTACCTGTGGCATGCACACAGTCCCCAGATAAGCTGTCTGCACAGCTTGCTCACCGGTCGTGGATGCAGTTGCAGCAGCTGGGAATGTCGTAGGGAGAGCTGCCCATGGAACAGGAGACACAGGAGGAGCCCTGGCTGCAGTGCTCCAGCTGCCATGACAGCAGGTTTGCTCCAAAGCCTTGCATCTCTATCATCTCACTGGTGTCTGTGGAAAAACCAAAGACAGAAGGACATCAGCCTTTTCCCTTCTCTCCCCCTCCTCCACCTGTGCATCCTGATGGTTCATGCTTCACTTCTCAACAGGCTCTGAACCTCGGTTCCAGAAACAGGAGTAGCATCCTCAGAATCACTGTTCTGGACCTGCAGCATGCTGTGCAGGGTCCCTTCCCAGGAAGCCAAGCTCCTTCACCATTTGCACCTCTCTTGCCCATGCACATCCCAGTTCATGTTTCAAGAGACTAGAGAAAAGGGTGCTGCAGTAACAACTCAACTGGTTCTTGTGTAATACTATGGAAATGTTATTTATGGCCAGAAGAGATCATCTAGCCCGACCTTCTATTTAATTCAGGCCTCAGGATTTCATTTTGCAGTTCCTGGAAATCAGCCATGGAACTGCTGGTCCAGCCAGAGTGAAAGCTGGAGAATGAAAAGAAATTAAGGCAAACTGAGTCAGTTACTTTCAGAAGATGATGCTTTCCTCTTCAGAACCGGATCCTAAAATACTTAGCAGAGAAGGACAGTTCCAGTCCTGCTAATGCCCACACTATATTCATACAAGAATACTCTCTACAGAAGCATCTGATCCAACTGTACCATGCAGCTTCCTGAGTTATCCCTGCTCCACCAAATCTATTTGCCTTTTTAACCAGCTTCAGAAAGGCAACTCAAAAAATCAGCTGCTCCCTTCAGAAAGCTTGGCTTCAGCTCTTCAGCCTTCCCAGCTGGCATTTGAACTCGTGGGGCTTTTGCTTTATAATAAATAACTGGCCTTTCAGCTCACCCATGATTAAAATTAAGGCAAATACAATAATGTATGTCATAAAGTATGCCACTAGATTAACAGTTACAAGCAAAATCCAGTCCCCTGGGCCGTGCTTTTAAAACAGGTATTTGTTGAGTGGTTGGCTGGGGGTGCAATTCCAAACCATCTCATGCATTTTAAATCAAGGTAGCACTAAACATTTTAGGAGTGCCTATTAGAAAGTGGGCAGAGGTGAGGGAGGCATGGAGTAAACCCATTTGTTACCAGAAAAAGCACAGGCTCATGCGGAAGCAGTCATGTGTGTTTCATTTCACAAAACAAAGTGTGATGCAAAAATGCTCTTCACCTTAATTCTTCAGGAAGGAGCTGAACGACCCAGTCTTTATTGCAGCTTCTTATTGGGTTCAAATAAAAACCACTGGATAAACATTTTTAGATCATTAGTTTTTGCCTCCCCTCTGTAGACAGGAAAATTGGTCTTTTCAGTTTTAATTTTTTATTCTGTTTTTTAGAGAAACAAGGAAAGAACCCCACAGAACCTAAAGATTCAGATGAAAGGTACCTGAATTAGTGAAGAATTAGAGTGAACAGCATCTTTTATTTAATTGTAGTGGTGTTATCTGTAACTTCAGCTACATGCAAAAGTCGAGCATGTTGCAAAATGTCAAAGCAGATGGCTGGCAAACCTGCTACAACAGTGTTGTCATTATGGGATGGGGCTGCTGGAGAGACAGCAGCCCAGCCAGGCTATTCCCAGACACATCCCTAACTCTACCATCCCCTTCAAGATTAAATAACCAAAAGCAGACACCTGATAGCCATTCTAGTGGGATAACTTACATGTTCTATCAACTGACTAAATTGTGTGCCTTATGCTTAACATGTATGTGGCAATTGAACGTTCTTCCCATTTTTGCCCATATCCAAGCACAATCAGTTAGGACACTGAAACTTCCTAAAACAGCATCTTTTTCCAAGGGGAGCACTATTTTTGGAACTTCTTTCTATCCATACCTTCCAAGAATTCTTTATTAACTTGGTTGGGCTTTATCGATTTCCAGGGGCTGCTCCCTTGGGATAAGTGCATGGGCAGCCTAGAAGAATTGAGGCTCTCCTTGAACACCTGTTCCTACCCTGTCCAACCCACAACTTCAGCACTGTACAGAGATGCAGGGCAATTATTGTCTCTTGCAGTCAGTCCCACCAGTCCACGGTATAAAAGCAAGGACTTCTCAGAATGCAGAGCTAAACTACTGGATGCCAAATGCACAAACATCTTGAGAATACCAGCTTAAATAATATGAAGAAATAGATGACAAATTTGTGGGTGGTGGAGCTCACAGCTGATCCTCTGAAGCCCACCCAGCCTATGGATGCAAGTGGAATGAAGTCACCGACCCCAGACAGGCACTGCATCTCCACACAGCCTTCTCTGCATACTCTGCCACCTCATCTGTGAGAACACAAAGCTGTTACACTCCCTCCTTCTCTCCTGAGAACTTGCTCCAGTATCCAGCCTTTATGAAGATGGGGCAGGAAGCCCCAGAGGAGAGGACGTTTGCTGCTCAGCAGCACACACATCAAGGGAGAGGGAAGATGTGCTCCCACTCCCCATAGGCTGTGAGCCTCTCTACACAGTCACCTCCATCTCCAGATCTCACGGCATGAGTGAAATGTCTTTCCCTGTAATAATGCCAACACTGTTGTATGCATCAGTGGAAGGAGCTGCAAGAGAGCTCTGGGACACAGGGGGAGGAGGATAAAAACCTTTCATCCTATTAGGAGCTGTGAGGTTCCGAGAGCAGATCATTGATAGCATTGCGTGTAGCTTATCTTCCTCCTCCTCATCATCGTCAACAGAGGTAGAGCGGCTGGCAGCTAAGTGGTGGTAGTTAATAGTTACTGCTCAAAGAAAATAGTGAAAGAGGAGCATAAGAAGAAAGAACTCAGTGCTGTGGGAAAGCTCAAAAGGACATGGTCAGCAAAGACAAAGGACCTGAATCCTGCCCTCTGCTTGAGGGCACAAGCTCTTGTAAATGGGTGTGAAAACTGAGTTTCTTACAGAAACAAAGCATGCTCCACCAAGCTCAGGCCAGCCTTTGAGTGCGCACAGGCTGTGAGAGCACACGTGGCACACCATGGCAAGGGAGAAAGATCCCCATGCCAGCCTGCAGCAGCTGGGCATGCTTTTGAGCAAAGCTCCACAGGAATTCTAGTCTCCAGCTAGCTTCTGTCCTTCACTGTGTCCCTAGCAATGCTGCGGCCCCTTCTCTGAAACCTGTGCCAGATGCATCTGGACAGCAAACCCTCGCTCCCAGCTGTGTGTGGCTCTGCAGACAGGCAGAGCTCCTGCCTGGCACAGGACCTGCAGCTCCTGCCCCACGAGCCCTGGGCTCTGCAGCCCCTCCACCAGGTGCTTTGCTGGTGTGTGCATGGACTTACCTGTGCCAGCCCAGTAGCCTGACAAAGCCCAGTCAGCGCTGTGGCCCAGGCCTGGGGTCAGGAGGCTGCAGAGGAGACTCCTGCTTTCTCAGCTGCAGTAAGTCCCAGTAGGAGCAGTAACTCCAAATCCCCTGTAAACTTTATGGTCTGATCTTCTCAGGAAATTCTTGCTTCTTTACCAATGGGAATAAAACTGAACATGCTGTTTGAGAACCAGCTCAAATGCCTTCTTGCATGTAAGGAATTTGTAATCACTGATGACATGAGGTGGTTTGGTGCTTGGGAATTCATTTAGTTTCCTTGGAAGGACCTTTGTTTATCCATTGTTAAGTTTCTGCTTCCAAGCCAGGAAAACTTAGCCCAGGGAGTTCTTGGGGTACTTTTCAGAGTTTATGGTTGGTTTTTTTTCCTAATAACAACATTATGAGCAAGCGTTGTGGCCAGTAAAAATATCCTCACTTCAGGAGCAAAACTGCTCTTGGCTAGTCAAACAATCTTTTTTGTTTCAGACTCAGTTTGCAAGCCCAGGGGAGTATTTTGAAAACTTCCTCTGTAAAACACAGAGAAAATATAAAATTCCCCACCTCAACTCCATTTCAACTAAGATAGCAAGTTTCACTGCATTAAGGAAATCTAAGCTGTACCTGTTGATCACAACCATCTCTCAGTGAAATTTATTAGAGGTTTGGTTTTTTTTACCCCCTTAAAAAGATGTGGCTTGTCACCTGCAGGTATGTCCCAGGGTATTACTTCAAGATTTTCTCAGATGCCTGATTTGATTTTTCATTTGTTTTGGGTTTTTTTTTTAAAACAAAGCAGAACAAAGGCACTTACTGTTATCATGCTTGTGGCCAGGATAGATAATTCTGAAGACATAGTCTGTGGATGTGTCCTCAGCTGGCATCTCCTCCAGGTCCACTGACTTGTTGCTGTTCCGTTTTCGAAGCTTTGGAAACACCTTGCCCTAGAGAAAACAATAATTCCATACATTCAGCTATGAGCGACTAACAGAACAACAAACTAAGTACCACAGACCTCTGAAATCTTAAATTGCCAAACTTTCAATGCTGGGAGGAGGTGAGGGGGGAAACAGTGGAGTCATATACAGCTAGTGGTTTAGGGGTATATAATACTACTTTTTCTTTGTGCTATAAACCAGCCTTTTCTTGTAATCTATAGGAGCTGGGCACCACAAGCCTCTGGCAGCAGCTCTGTCCAGTCTATCTGAGTCTCACTCATATTGTGTGGGCTTGTATCTTGATGCAACAGCAGACTCCAGCCATTTGTTCAATGAAGGTATGAACAATTTTTATAGATCACATGTATAAGAAGCAAACTGGACTAAATGGAGTTATTTTGCATCCTACTTTACCATAAAGCAGCTGGAAGTCAGTGCTCAGGCCCTGTGGAGCAGAGATACTAACACCAGCCTCACCCAAGAGCTCACCAGAAAAAGCAGTACCTTGCCCTGCTGGGACCACAGCGGGGGCTCCAGCTGGCCACGGGGTAGGAGCCCATTTTCCAGACAGGACAGGAAGGCGAGGAGGTGCCCTCCTTGGGGGAAGTGCAGCGGAGGCCTCTGAGTCCCATCCTGACTCACCAGCACTAATGTCCATCTGCTTTCTGCTGCAAGGAGGACAAGGGGAGTCCACACTGTTACATCAGAGCCTCAATTTTCCACTCTTACCTTCTAAGTAAACTTTATTTGGGATCATCTCTAGATAAATAAACCTTTGTAAGGCACAGTGTGATCTAAGGATGATATCAGCCCTCTAGTCCTAAAGAAACCCAAGACACAGGCAAACTATGAAAGCCTCATACAGTTGTCATCTTCTATCTGCTGGGACTGGAGATTTTAACACTCATTCCCACATGGCCAGAACTAGTCAGAGGTGTTCCTGACACTGAGGGACAAAAAGCAATCACTCAAGTGGCTCTCCCTGTTCTGTATTGTTAAGGAATATATGCTTAAGGGTTATGCTTACGTTGCTGATGGCAGTGGATGCAGACAATCTGGCTCAGTGGCACAATCAATGCGTAGTCCCAGTAAACACTAAGAGGGAAGGAAAGTGCAGGAAACATTGTCTTTTCCATATTCAGGAATACTTGCAGTTTCAAGCACCTGATAGAAAGACTCTGCTAAGTTAATAACTGCTTATTAAATTTGGCCAATTAAAGTAAATTATTAGTCAAGTAAATGTCAAAGGAAAGCTAGTTTCTCCACACTGGATATTCTGGTACCAGTTTGTACAACCTCTGCTTCCCTCTTCCCCTCCCCTTCCTCTTTCCTGGTGCCCCTCAGCAGGTTACACAGTACTTCCCATCTTTCCTGAATGCAACGAATACCTTTTCTCCAGTTCTGAATCTCCAAGGGTGCCATTCATCAGCTGGTTTGGAGTCCATTTCAATGTCAAACTATCTGCTGATTGATGAAGGGAAAGATACCCAGGAATTGCCTCCAAGTCATCTTTCTGTTCACAGAAGTAACAAACAAACAACCCAGGTGACTCAAGTGCACAAAATATCTGCATAAAAATATATGTTCCAGTTTTTCTATGCCATGAAGGTTCCAAAGCTGCAGTATGTGGGAAGCGATGCAGGAAACCCAGCAAAAGTACTGGTATGCAATATTGCTACTAGAAAGAGGAGAAAAACCACAACATGGTCAGCAGGTTTATGAAATACAGTCCAGTATGTTTGTTCCTGCCTAAAGGCCCACTGCTCATTGACAGTGGTCAGGCAGTAAAAGCATCTGTCAGGTGTCAAACCTACCCCAGCACAGGAGAGCCAAGAAGAAGGCAGCTCTGTGCTGAGAACAGAGCAGCAACCCCTTGACAGGTCTGAGCTCTGCCCCAGCCACAGCCCCAAGCTGCAGGCACTCACCGGTTGCACCAGGACGTTGTTTTTGCCGTAGAGAAGGTGTGTCCGGGAATTCTGGTGAAGGGACTCCACGTACTCCCGCGCCGAAGCAGCAAAGCGATCTTCTGACGTGCTGCCACTGGAATGGCGCTTCCGGATCTACGACACAGCCAGGGCAGGTCAGGCAGGGCACATCACAGGAACTCAGCCTCTAGAGAGTGCCGCAGCCAGGGGGGCTTGCAGAGAAATCACCTGGACTCTTAACTCAGCCCTGACCACGGCAGCTCAGAATTGCTTGTGAACTACCTGGTCAGATCACAACCGTCAAAAGCCAGAGTTTAGTACTGGATCTCAAACTTTTCTACATACAGATAAAGAGGACATTGTGGCCCAAATGGACTTCTAATGTGTGATAAAGCTTCATTACAGAAGAGAGAAGAAAGGCTGTTCCAGATTCAGGTATCTCCCTGATGAGGCTGTTTTTATTATCAGCCTGTCCCTAACTCAGACACAGGTACAGAGTAAATACCTACTCCCAGGGCTGGGCGCTTGGAGGGGGAGTCCTGGCGGCCGTGTGTGCCGTGGATCCGGTGCCGCTGCACCAGCTCGTCGGCTGAAGGGTCTGTCCAGTAGTGGTCAGCTGTCTTTAGCTTGGTGTACTCCAGAGCACAAGGTCCAACTAGGAAAAGAGACCAAGGGAGAAACCTTCTGAGTCTGTTCAGAGACATACCCAGTGCTATCCTGCTGGCTGAGCACTGAAGGTGAGATTTCCTTCTCAAGCCAAGTGAATATTAATGGTCACCGATCCTACGGGATCAGCCCACAAACAGACAATATAATAATGTATCATTCCTATTAGCCAGGGCTGTATAAGAGTGTTCCCGTAGGACACAGTACCCTGCCACAGCAGCGTTAGCAGTCACAAACTGCCAGCAAGCATTCAGTAAAAATCCATTTCCATTCCGCTTTCTGATCCAACCAATAATTACTAATAAAACCAGATGATCAGTCTTTGGTCTTGTAAGCAACAAAACATCTTCACTGTTTCTCTATTATAAATAGTTACATACTAAATATAAAATTCACTTCTTGTTACACTATCATAATGCAAAATGCTTTAAGAAACTATTTATTTTCTTCAGCATAAGAAGTAACTTTGCAAGAACTCACCTAGCAGAGAAGCCAGTATTGGGCCACAAACAGGATCTGCCAGTAAAGCTTCCTTTTCATAGTATTTACTAGGAATAAAAGATCAGAGCCCAGTTAAAAACATTTGTTGGTATGAACCATTTCAAAGCTTAGGTTTAGCTACAGGTGTAATACAGTGGGCCTCTCGATATGCTCATTCCGTCTCATCTATTTTTCAGCTGAGCTCAGAGAAGCAGGAGCTTGCCTTGTGCTCAGTGTGTTTACCCAGTATATTTGATTTGGGGCTTTGGGCAGAACTGCAATATGGGAACAAACAATAGTTCTCTGCAAGTAATTTTGTCCATTTTCCACAGAGGCAAAACAATCCACACATTCTTAAACATCTCTTCTATCTTTGAGGAATCATCTTGAAGCACTGTGAAGAATAGTGAACTACTACATTGCTCTTGCAATGACCCCGAAGTCTTGCCATTGCAGCAGGCAAAGCTGTTTTGCAAAACCATATAGCCAAAAAATCCAAACACGCACAGCTCTTGATTGCCACTGTCCTCTGTGGTCTGTTCACTAGATGGGGCTCAAACTCTAAAGCACCTGCTCTTCCTCCAGAACAGAACAGCTGAAGGACATGAACATGGAGCATTTGAACAGTTATGACACAAAAGCCTTACGAAAATGTTTGTTTTATTCACCAAGTGAAGCTCTCAAAATCACACAACTGCAATGAAGGACCTGATCCTAACTTATCTGAAAGTATGGGGAGGGCAGTGAAGTGAATATCTACAACACACAGTGATGGAACAACTGAGAGCAAACTCCCCTGATGTGTCTCCTGTGGATTACATGGAAAAGAAATTAAAACCCCTTGTGCCCATGTATCTGCAGACACCGAGACAGTGGACTAAAATGCTTTCATTAACTGTGTCTCTGGGACATGGCCAACCCTCCCTCTGTCTCTTCTGCACACAGCTCATAAAATCCAAGCTGGCGTTACATATCCCAGAGCAACAGTTTGCTTGAACAGCACAAAGATCTTTCTTACATTCTCTTGCTTTTAGTGGCAAGATACATCATGAAAGTAAAGCTGATGACAAGGGAAACAGTAATACAAACTTGGAAAATACTGTGAAAACGAGCTGCTTTGCCCTTAGTTCTCATCCTTGTTCAGACCTATTGGCTTTGGATGAACAAGAATGTGTTGCCAGGGCAGAAGAAGAGCACCCCTGCCAACAAACTGCCTTTCTGGGACCACAGCAAGCTTCAGGGTCCCTTCCTTTCTCTTTTTATGGGAGATTGTTCTCAGTCTGTCCCATTAAGTGTTCAGTATCATGGGTTATGGGAGGGCAGGAAGGGTAGGAGTTAAGAGCCACTCCTTGGCAAACCACAGCTGATGCTGGGCAGCAGGAAGCAAAAACAGAACAGAGAGGACTCATCTTTGCCTCTTAACGAGTCTTTGGGGAATACATCCATAAAGCACTGATGATCTTGGTTTTACAAGGGAAGACATTCACTTTACACGAAGTTTAATTTTTCTAAAAAGGAAACATGATTCAAAGAACCCGTTTTCACAGCTCTAAGGTTTTATATCACTAGCTCCTCCTGTTCTAATCTCCTTTCTTTCATTTACAGAAGGCATTTTCCTCTCTGACATCCTAAAGTTCTGAAGGATTATTTTCAACTCATGACCTATTAGAACACATTTCTATTCCACTAAGCTCTAGGTCCCATTAGAATATGGGCACCTAATATACTTGAAGTTAGGTTTGTAGCTGATTTCTGGAAAGCTGAATGCCTGTTAATGCTTTTTTGTAAGCCTGAAATACTGTCAGTAATGAAAAACTATAGTACATTTTTTTTAAATGCCTATGTAACTGGTTTTCATCTTACCAGAAGACTGCATGACAGGGGTTTGCTGAAGACTTTTGATGAAATCCCTTGCTGCAGACACCTAAAAGTCCAACAAATCCCCTTGCTTCTGCTGCTTTCCTTACCTGCAGTTATCAACAATGTACTGCACAATCTTGTCCAGCACCTTCTCAATCAAGGCTGTCCGAACCCAGATGTGCTTGATGGCCTGAGGTGTCAGGACAGGTGTTTTGCTTGTGGTTGAGCCCTGCCTTTTGAGGGGTTCCTGCCCATTTGGCTGATTTTTCCTGCAAAAGGTGATAAAAATAAAAGTAGTCAGAATTTGCACTGCTTGATGACAGCTCCATCATCCAGTGAAACCCATCCATCCTCCTGCATCGGGTAACACAGTGGAGCTGCAGGAGAAAGGTGGCTGTAAAGCACAGGGACATGTGCCTTGGCTCTCCACACACTGCCCTGGGCTGAGTGGAACAGGAATCCTCTAAATGTCTTTTCCAGAAAACTTCCCCCTTGAAATAGAAGAAGATCCCATTTTGCCTCTGAGCAAAGAAACCCTGACATTTTCAGGTTCTTTGCCAGCACCTGGGTTTCCTTTCAGGAAACGGTTCAGTTACATAGAGTTAATACATTTGTTAGGGGTGGTTTGGGTGAGATCTGTAATTCCCCTCTGCATTGATAGGGTCCCAAGTCCTACAGGAGCCCACGTCAGCATGCCCACAGGCAAGGAAGACAAGTGACACCACTGACAGCAGAACAATTTGGGTGTGTTTAGTTGCATCCTAAACAGGGCTTTTCTTAAGCCACAGCCTCAGGAACAGTTATGCTGTTACAGCCCTTCTGTCTCATTTCATACATCCAGCAGAGCGAGTCCACCCCCTGCAGTATTTTCCAATAGTGTCTTTGCTGTGCATATTTTCTACAGCACTTAAATTTTGTGGTTGTTAATAGCTGAAAAACACACAAAATTTGTCTAGAGAAACCACAGAACTTAAGTTCATTTGCTACTCTCTGTTAGAGTACACAGCCCAAGTTCTCTGGTGGTTGAGGGGTGTTTGTGTGGGCTCTTAACCAGGAGAGAAGCTGATGAATTTTCAGTAGAAAGCATCCTTCTTCCCAACATTTAAAAAACTAAAATTAATACATTCCCTGTCTTTATCAGTAGGCACAATTAAAAATAAATCAAAAATAGGTATATATCAGTCAAAAACTACATAACAAAGTCTGACAATTACAAGTCTAATAAAGATAAATGTCAGAAAATTACATAGAAATATAAGTGCTAATTTAAATAACTCCATAATTGAAGGCAAGCTCTCTCAGCAAAGCCCTTCTTACAGCAAATTTATTGGAGGCTAACAGTTCCTAGGATGTGCGAAGAGCTCTTAGGGCTCAGCAGTGCCTACAAACAGGATTAAAAATGCTCTTGTCATGAGTTTATAGGACAAGACACTCATGTACTGTGAGTCCATCTACAGAACCACATGGAAAATTTTAGCTTTGCTACTCACCACCAGCAAAAAGTCTAAGACTTTAAGTAACCTCAAGTCCTTGACTTCAGGATTCTGTTGTGCTTAAGTCCAGTATGTACTGAACAGTTTTCCTGTAACATCCTTTTTCCCATCATTCTTCATATCCACTAATTGAACTGTTTCTGCTATGATACCAACAAATTTATTCCTGGTTTGGCAGGAGCATGCCAAAACAGCTTTTCCAGTATGTCTGTTCTTGAGTTCCTCCTTTCATCCCCTCCCTTCCCACCAACAGTCCAAGCTGGTCCACCATATCCTGACTGTGAGCCCTCTCTGAAATCACCAGTAATTAGTCATTTCTGTTGCTGTTTGTGGGCTGAATGTGCTCCTCTGCTGTACTGAGAAGCAAAATGAAACACCAAAGCCCCAGTTCCCCATCTCAAACTACTAGTTTGATCAAACACAAACATCTACAGCCACTGACAAGACAAGGCTGCAGCGTCCATGGCCGAGACAGGCTCCTGTGCATGCACAGGGCAGTCTGTGTCCCACCACGCTGCACACACACACTGCATCCACCTGGCTGATAATCAGTCCTCAGCCTCACCTGCTCTCTACCTGCTGCTGCAGCTCCTGCACCTTCTTGCACACGTCTCCAGCTATGGCACAGGTCTTGCCCACCTTGGTGAAGAGTGCGGCCACCTTGTCGGTGCGCAGGAAGCCAGCAGCCCTGCGCTTCAGCATGTGCAGGAGACACGCCTCCACCACACCTGCGGGAAGGGGACAGAGCGTTACTGCTCCCACTGCCTCCTGCTCGGCCAGCATCACCTGCTCACGGCCCCTGGGCACCTGTGGGTCACCAACAGAGCAGGGGGGACAGACAAGAACTCAGAATCAGATGACATGAGCATGTGTCTAATCTGCAACTACAAGCACCTTGTAAAGTACAGGTAATGGCAGTATATAAATGAACTGGAATCTCTCCAAGTATTTTCACCCCACTTTACATGTGCCACACAGAACCACACTAACATGCCCTGATGGCCACTGGTAAAACACTGCACTATGCCAGCCTCACAAGACTGCAGCAGAAATCTATCCTGTTCTCATGTAACCCGCTGCAGGGAAAGGAAATGAGAAAGACAAATTTTAAAAAAAACAACAAAACAAATCAAAACAAAAAATAAGCCTTCCTTGTCTATCTGAAGCTTCTGAAGTGAGACTGCAGATGACTCACAGAGTCATACAAAAGGATGAAGGAGAACAGACCAATTCATTCACAGGCAAGGGAAAAGAGCCAGCTCTGTGTGCCCAGGGTGAGCCCAGGGCAGGGCAGCCCTCACAGGGCTCTGATTGCAGTGCTGAGTAGGGTTCTCCCATGCTGGGTGGCAGCAGGCAGCCCATCGGGACAGCGCAGCTCCCCTGCCACTTAAACACTGGTTATAGGAACACATGGCACCCCATCTGCTCTGACACTGCCGCTCTTTTTCAGAGAAGGCAGTGTTTTGTTGTGCTTTACGCCCAACACTGTCAGGTGCTGAGCATTTCCTGGAAACTCCTCTCCTTATTGTACCTGAAGGCTCCAAATCCCTTAACACCTGAAAGCCTGCATCTGAAAAAGACCTGTCCTCACTGTTTGGGCCCTGAAAACTAACCTGAGCCCCAGGCCTGACTGGGGGGGCACACAGATGTTGCAGTTAGGGCCTGGCACTGTGGAAGAATTCGGGAAGTAATGGAAAGTTAGCAGACCCCCTCTCTGTCAGGATAGTAAGTTCTCTTGCAATTAGCAAATAGCACCCAGGTGTGACGTATGTAAATGGGAGTAACACAGTGAACCTAGGCTATAAAATGTTAAGTTTCCCTGCAATAAATCGCCATATTTGCCATCCATCACATTTATGTGGGGTATGGACTGCGCGGCTGGGATAGCCGCCTGTGCTGGAGCCGATCGGGGTGCTTATCTTGCTTTAAACCCAACACACAGAAACACCATCTGCTTGCTGAACCCTGAGGAGCCCCACCCCAGGGGTAGCCAGAGCCAGCCTGAGCTGCCTCAGGGCACAATGGGGCAGTGCCCGTGGCCTCAGCTCTGGCACACTCCTGCCTGCCCAGTGGCATCAGACACAGCCACCGAGAGCAGGGCCGGTCCTCTTCCCACGCTGGTGGCACTGGCACAGACACCAGGAGCATGGAGCACACCTGGGCTGGCACAGCCCTGGTCTGACAGCACCCCCAGAAACCTCCCCTGCCATGGAGCACACCTGGGCTGGCACAGCCCTGCTCTGTCAGCAGGAGCCCCGCGCTGGCCACGTCTGCAGCCAGGAGGACTGAAGCCATGACACACGGGGGACATGGAGTTGTGACACACGGGGGACATGACACAGAGCCGTGACACACAGGGGAACACGGAGCTGTGACACACAGGGGACACGACACACTGGGGAACACAGAGCCATGACAGCACCGGGAAGTTCCTCACAGCACAGTCTAGCTCCTGTCTAGCAACCATCACAGCAGCTCTTAACCCAGCAATTGTTTTGCTCTGTCTTTCAATTAGAAATAAAGAAAAAACAAAAGCAGCTTTCCAGATGCCTGGAGCAATGCAGCAATTCGATTCCAAATCTTAAATGAAGCAACTTGCCTTTAAAAATAACTGCAAAGAAGTGCATTGCTGTTGCTTAGGAAACAGGCTCTCTTCCCACCTTCACCACTTTTTTTTATTTCTTTAAAACAATAAAATATTAATGAAACAAATTTAGTGAAAAGCACAGCAGGCATACCTTTAATTATTAATAAATGCTGCAGCTGCCACTGAGGGCAATTTCCCCAGTGACCGTCCCTAGAGCCCCAATATTTAATTATTCCACTGTCACATTTCTCATCATAAGAACTTGGGTAAGGTGAGTCCCCAGCTGCCTATAACACACTCATAAGGGTCATTGGCATCACTGGAATTTGCTGCTGGATTGCCTCAAAATGTATTTTCCACCAGACAAGAGATTATGCATGTCCAGTTCTATGTGTTGGATTGGGGGACAGATTACATCCCAGCCTGTGTGACCCTCAGGTCACTTAACTCTCCTACGCTTCACCCCCAGACTGAGACTAACAGCACTGGCTGTCAGCACTCTTCTCTCCAGGCTTCTTCTACAAGAATTATTCCAGAACAGCTGGAATACATTCACATCTGACTCGATCTGAATATGCTTGCAAATACACCGTGGCTTTTATCCAGTTAAACTACAAAACATCCAAGCAGGGCAGCAACACATCTTGTGACACAGATGCTATCCCATTCCAACCCAGAGGACCGTGTGGATGCCACCCTGGTGGCACAGGACAGCAGGAAGGGATCCCTCCCAGCCACGGGAATGGCACAGCACAGTAGGCACAGCTCCCTGGCAGAGCCCCCAGGGCTTTCCTTTGGCTCGGTGTCCAAGGCAGGCACTGATCTCACTGCACCTTGCCAGCATCACCCACAGCCAAGCTCAGTCAGAGGGGAAACATAAAACATCCTCAACAAACTGGCAGAAGAGTCACCTCAAGCTGCAGAAGCTTTTAAAAGACATGAGAGGACCTTGGTGCTTTTTGATAAACCAAAACCAGGTGATCCCTAGGAGTTACAAGCTGCACAGCTCAGACTGCTGCCTAAAGAGACAACACAAACTATTTCAGGGAATATAGTACAACAACCTTCAGGACAGGGAAATATGGTTATTTACCCATTTCTGGGAAAATGAACCGTTTTTCCCCTTTTGGAATCTGACACTCTAAGAAGACCTAAAAATAGATGATTTAGCTGTTTGTGGAGAACCTGGTAACATCAGAAAGAAAGAACCGGTGGGTGGTTGTGTGCACACCTAGGTAGTTTGCACACATGTACAGTGCTTTTGGCTACAGGTGTGTGTGCACTCGGGTCAGCAACTGCTGCACAGCCCAGTGTGATCCCCAGCCTGCCCATTGTCACTGTACCTACAACAAACACGTACAAAAGCTGACCAGATGAAGAGGCAGCAGTTCATCACACACAGAGTGGAAGAACAGCTCTGCACTGGGAATAAATCAGCACAGGTAATTCCCTTGTATGGCTCAGCTGACAGCAGCCATCTAAAAATTCATTAACTCCAGACAGTTTTGAGGAACATTCTCTGCAGTATTCACTGCTGAATTTAATTAAGTGCAGATATATTATTGATTTACAGTTCAAATAATTGTAGTGCCTACCAAGCTTCAGAAAATGTCATTTTTTTATGACTTCACCACAGCTACTTCTTCCAGGGTCAGGTGAACAAGTTCGGTTCTGTCCTTTTCTGCCTCTACGAAAATTATAACTTGACTTAATGGACTGTGAAATGAGAGTTCTGGGGTTGGAAGGGTGGTAAGCAGAGAAAAGAAGGCCCGTAGAAGGATTATTTATGTGTGTACTTAGCAGATGAGATTTTTCCTTAGACAGGAAGAAATACTGCAGCTAAATACCTTGTTTTCATGGAAACTGTGCACAGGGAATTGAATTCATGAGGCTGAAGAAATTAAAAACAAGTGAAAAGAGGAGGATGATAAAGAAGCCATCAGATGCTCATGATCTCCAGCTGCTGTTGCTTTATCCTGCTGATCACATATCTGCCCAGTTTGAAACCCAGTTTCTTGCCAAGTTTCAGCCTGCTGTGTCACTTGGACACGCCAAGCAGGGGAGACACTGGCACTGAGTGCCAGCTGACAGCAAGGGACTGCAGACAAGACACACAAACCTGTACCCTTGTTCACCTGTACCCAACGTCCTTGTGTTGGGCTGTGCCACAGAACATCCTCTGTTCAAAAACTCCCTAGAAAATAAAAAACGTATCGCAATGGACAATATCCTTTCTCAGTTCTCAAGTGGCTGGGAAACTTCAGGGTTGAAATTTGGTGACTGCTCCTCTTTAAAATCATGATCATTAAGCTACAAGGATCTCAGCAACCTTCAGAAAACAGAAGTGTTTTCATTAAACACTGTTAAGGGCAAATCAAAATTACTGAAGTTTCTCTAAATATTGAAAATGATCCAATTTGATAGCCCAGGATCAAAGCAAAATGTTTAGCAGAGTTCTCTAAAAAGCACAAGAGATTTTATTTCATTTCTCAAGCTAACAACACATGCAGTTCAAAAACTATTTCATTTCACATCAGAGCTAATATTCACTCTGGATTTTTCCTCCCCACTAAAGCACACCACTCATTAATTTAAGCATCATCTTTGGAGCACAATCAAAAACCTTCTAAATGTGCATGAAAAAATATTTGCCTCCCCCCAGTTATGATTATCTCTGGTACACTCTCTGGGTTAATGTATTTACCAATTGAGTTAGAATCTCTGTAAACTATTTTTTAAGCATTATTCATCACTGAAAATGTTTGTTTCCCAAACAGGAGCAGTAATGCAGGGAGACTTTGTTTTGTTTGTGAGAGATCTGCGTTTCCATAGCAGATTATCTTAATTTTTTTAAAATATCAATGCCAAGGGTAGAAAGGCAAAAGAATTAAGATGATAAACTGTCAGGCTGGGAATTGATTCCTTAAATCTGTTTCTACAGAAGATACATTTCTGTGAGCTAAGGAAAAAAGAGAGGAAACTGAATTCTTTGTTTTCTGTCAAATCTGAACATAGTGCTATTTAGAAGCCTCAAGGCAATCAGCTAAAAACCCCAAAGCATAAGACATGTCTTCCTAATGGGGCTGATTTTCAGAAGAATTGGAATGCTGTCATTCCAGCTGAAAATGATGGGAACAAAAT